GGTCACTACACTGGTCAGTCAGTTCAGCCTTCAGTTCACATCGTACCGCACAAAAACGTGGGGACAGCTGTCACTGGCCCCCTGCTGACTCTGAAATTCCAGCCCCATCAGTCAGAGCGGAGGGGCAGGGACAGACGAGCCCTACCAGTTCTGGGAGTAACAGGTTAAGGCAAAAGTGACACAGAGTCTGTTCCCCAAGGAAATGCCCGGCAGACCGTGCACTTTCCCCACGCCGAAAGGCAAAGCCAAAGGCAGGGAGCAGAGATCCTGGAACACACACGGTGTGTCCGGGCCGTGCCAGGGATATGGCAGGGGCCGGGACACGGCAGGAGCCCAGGGCAGCTCGTGGCCGCGCTGCTGGGAGGCAGCAGCAGGGAGAAGCACCGAGCAGGAGCACGGCAGCACATGGGAGACACGCACAGGAAAACTGAAAGTGGATTCAGTTTCTAGTTTTCCTTTAGTTACACGAATTAAATTTTTATTTAATCCAGGAAGAGTTTAACCCACAAGCCAAATGTAACTGAGATATTCTAAGAGTAATGCAGGTTGTGCTTCCTTGGCTCCCCGCCCGTCGGCGCTGCGGGCACCGGCCCGGCAGGGGCTTTACCCGAGCTCAGAGATGGCGGCTCCTCCGACCCCCCCGCGGGACGGAGCCGCCTCGGGCCCCCCCCGAGCCCGCACCTCACGGCCCCCCGACCCCCAGGGCCCACCTTGTCGTGCCAGGCGGAGTCGCTGCGCAGCGCTTTGCCCCACACGGAGCCGCGCCCGGCCGCGCCGCCGTTGGCCACCGCGTGGTGCTGCGGGTGCGGCGGCTCGTCCCGGCGCCGCCCGCCGCTCATCCCGCTCAGCCGGAACCGCCCGGACCCTCCTCGGGACCCGCCCGGACCCTCCGGACCCTCGGCCCGGAACCAACCCCGGCCCCACCCGCGCTCCGCCAATGGCGCCGCCGCCCTACGGCGGCCGAGAGGGGCCAGGGCGGGACGGGCGGGGCCAGCGCCCGGCTCCTCCTCCGGGAACAGGGAACCGGGAAGGGAAAGGGGGCGGGGAAGGGGCGGGGGAAGGCTCAGCCTGGAAGGGCCACTCTTCGGCAGAAAGGCGAGACAGCAGACCCCGTGTTGTCCCCACATGTTGGGGGGGAGAGGGACCTTGGGATCCCCGAAGCACCTGCTGAGCCTGCGAACGGGGCCGCGTGGGGATCCCGGGATCTCGGACAATCCCACGGGATCCCGGACAGCTTCGCCTGCGGCACATTGTCACCATGCGACGCCGTCGGCTCACGGCTCACAGCCGGGCTTTGGAGACGGCCCAGCTCCTCCCTGGGGACGGGCTGGAGGGTGGGCAGCAGGGCAGCTTTTGGGACACACGCGGTTGTGCCGCTCGGTAGCTGTGATCTGAGCAGACCTTACAGCAGCCGAACATACGGCGGCTGTGGATCAAGTAATGACGTGGAGTTCTAAATATTTGACTAATTTTTATATTCTTGCCTTCCAAGAGCAGTGGTGCTCAAACCAGTCATAATCATCATGGAAAAACATATTGAGAATTATTTCTGCATGGCGTGGGCTGGATATTTGGTTGGGATTGACTCTCTTATCCTCTTCAGGGTGTGATTATGTGGGCATAATAATCCACTTCCCAATTACCGTTAAATAAAAATCTGTATTATTGACTTTGGCATATGGTCTGATTTGCACCTTAATTTGGGCAGAGGCATCTTTCTAATAATTTTCAAGAATCTGATCATAACATGCCTTGCTGCTGATTCCAACAGGATCTTTAGGGGCAGACTGACCCTCCCTGGGCCCTGTGGGATGGGCAGAGGGAGCAGGCAGACAAGTCCTTGTCCCAGGCCTCAGATCACTTCCAGCCAAGGCCACGTAATTTAAATACAGATTATGCAAGATACTTATGGACTTCAAAAGTATCTTGCCCTGCTCCAGCCATCAGGCCTCTGATCACATGTCCAGCCCCTTAGGCATTTGCCTCATGCCAGAGGCTGGTTCAAGCCAAGGGACCCACATGGCATTGGCAAGAAGGGACATGTGTGTGTGGGGGTGTCATCGCTCTATCTCTGGCAGATCCTGTGCCTCTGACCCCACACCATGACAGGGCCAGGTCACACGTGTCCTGGCTCCAGCCTTGCCCCTGGGACACTCCTCGGGTGCCTGGGCCGTAGCAGCCCCAGGTACTCTGCACCCTCTGCTCTGTGATGGACACACGAGGGCAGGGGGAGGTGACAGCTGCAGCTGCAGCTCTTCCAGGCCTCAGGCTGTGTCCTAAGCAGGTGAGGAGTGCCACTGTCCCCAGCTCCGTGCTCCTCCCCTAGGCCACTTCACAGGGATAGAAACATTTGCACAATGATGAAACACCTGGATCAGGGAACTGATTTAAAATTCACATGCTAAACAAAATGTCTTGTTTTACTTTATTTCCATTGCCTGATACACTGGCCAGAGAAAAGCAAATTAAATTTGGGCTTGAAAGGGCCAGAAGGAGGCAGGAGAGGTACCAGAGAGTGTCCTGAGGGTACAAGCAGCCCCCAGTAAGGGATGGGTGTTGGCAGACACTTGGAAGTGGGGGAGAAGGATGACATGGAGAGCCCTGAGCACAGGCAGAGGAAGGCAGGAAGAGCTGGATAGGGCTCAAGGGACAGCATGAGGTGGCCCAGCAGCAGCCCCTTATGTGCACAGCTGCAGAGGCTGCAAAGCCTTCAAGGAGTTGACATGTCCATGCTGCCCTTCTCCAACAGCTCCCCTCTGCAGGGGCCCAGCCTGACACTTGCTCAGTAGTGAGGAATTGGGGCTCAGTGAGGGACAGTGGCCACCCCGGAGAGGCTGGAGGATGGCTTCTAGGACCACCTGGACCAAACTGAGACCAGGATTCTTCTCCAGCACAGAAAACCCGGGGACCAGCCACAGGGTGGCAGCTTGGGCTGGCTGACTCCCGGTTCTTTTTTTTTCTTTCTTTTTTGTCTCTTCCCTTAAATTTTTAATAAAAGGATAAACCTTTCTGGGGACCCCCTGTGCAGCTCACGGGTATGACAAAGGTTCTGTGCTCTCCCTGGCTCACCTCTGCCCTGCCACTGCACTCGGCAGCATTTCCAGCCCCATTCCTGCATTTGGCCGGCTCCTGATCCTGCTGCTTGTCCTTTGACGGGGCTGCAGGCACATGCCTGCAGGACTATGATGAGGCTCAAGGTTGCTGATGGGAAGGAATCGTGAACAGAACCTGCTGCCCTGGAGAGGTGTCTCAGGGCTGGTGCCTTCCTGCCTTGAGAGAAGGGTAGGAGCTCCCCATCCCTGTTCCTCCGGGCTCTGGATCCCTGCTTGGGAATGGGGCAGCTCCCTGGCTGTTCTCTGCTCCAGGCCAGTTTTTAGAGGGCCTTTGAAGGGCTGTTTTACGGGGTCCTTCTGGGGTCTCGAAGCCCAGGGCAGCGGCAGAAGTCAGCACTGACGGCTGGTCCTCCTGGGCACCGTTCCCTTTGCGTAGCCCCAAGGACCATTGGCAGAGGTTTTTGGCCACTTGTGGTGCAGCCTGCGAACACCCTCTGGCCTCTCCACGGACCCCACGGGCCGCTGCTCCTCCAGCAGCCCCACGCCTGCCCCAGGGACCCACCCCGGCCACGCCATCGCAGCCAGAGCTGTCCAAACAGCCGTGAGCCCCCGGTTGGTGTCACCCGTGGGTGCCCACGGCTTCTCCAGAGAGTGGCATCCCTGTGTCCCCTGGCTGGGATGCGCAGGGGCGCCCACGGGGACGCGCCGGTTCGCAGCCCCCCGGTGTCAGCGCGCGGGACGGGGGGCACATGTGGGCCACTCCTTTCGTCTATATAAGGCCGTCCCGCCGGCCCTGCCCCGCGGCCCTGGCCCCGCCGCATTCTTCTGCCTTGTATGGGCCGAGCCGGGCCGGGGCGGGCCGGGACCCTCTGCCCGCCCGCCCCGCAGAGCCGCGTCCCGCAGAGCCGCGCCGACCGCCCCGCAGCTCCCGCAGCTCCCGCAGCTCCCGCAGCTCTCCGCTCCGGGACAGGTGAGGCGGCTCCGCCGGGGCCCGCGCCGGGACAGGAGCGAGCGGCCACGGCGGGGAGGGGGGCGGCCCCGGGCGGGATGGAGAGAGCGGGTGGGATGGAGCGGGCGGGATGGAGCGGGCAGGATGGAGCCGGGGGCAGTCCCAGTGGACCGGGCGGGATGGAGCCGGGGAGAGCGGGTGGAGCAGCCCTGACCGTCTCGGGAGAGCGGAGGGAGCAGAGGGAGGCAGCTCCGCCGCTCCTCCAGCTCTGCAGTGCTGGAGCTGATGCCGAGGTCAGCCCTGGGACCGGGGTGACTCGGTGGCAGGAGGATTCCCGGCGAGCCCTGCCGGGCACCCTCTGCCCGGGAAGCCTCTTACCAGGCCCGGCGGGCGCGTCCGGGCGACGGCAGGTGAGGATCGTTCCTGAGCCAGGCTCTGGGGAACTGTCCGCAATGCCTTGGAGCTGGGACATCCCAGCTTCCCCGGCATGGCACAGCTAGAGGAGCAGATCCTGCCGCCCGCAGTTGCACACGCCTCCTGATCTGTGAGAACTGTTCCTGTCTGGAACAACTGCTTTTCCCCCAAGTGATTTTGCTGATGGCCAGAGGCAAGATCTGGATGCATGCGTGAAGCTCCAGAGATCTCCCCAGTGACCTGGGAGCAATGTCAGGCAATAAACTGCTGTAAGGCAGAAAAGCCTTATTTAGCTCATTTCCCTCAGCCTTAAACACAGAGGGATGTTGGTTTTTTTAGCCTTTCCCATGAAAACATGAGGTCCTCTTGGCTTCCCTTCTGGCATGCCCTTTTGGTCCAAAATGTTTCAACTGTTATAAAAGCCAGGGATACTCTAAAACATGGATGTGTAGGAGAAGGCGGCAGCTGGAGCAGCATTCTTTGGAGTGGAACATCCCCGAGTGTCAACAACCACCGCTGCTGACCAAAGATGGTTGGGTTCCTTCAGTTGCTGGAATTTTTTTCCTTTCTCTCTGGCAGGCTCTGTGCGCTGTAGGAGGAGTTTGTGGTCACCTCCCCCTCTGAGGCGCTGCGGCCAGATTCCCCTGCCGAGGTGAGCCTTAATTCCCTGGGAAAATACCAAGCCCTGGTCGAGGCATGTTATGCTGCTGGCCAAAGGCCATGAAGTCCTTCAGCCCCGTGGTCCATTTCCCAGCCTCCTGAGCATCAGAAGGTGCTGGGTGTTGGGTCCTTTGCATACTGAGGTTGCCTGTGCACAGGCTTCTCGTGGAGGCTGCAGAACTTGCTCTTTGGAAGGGTTTACATGTGCCACATGGGCACTGTGAGGTCCTTGTTCCCTAAACTTGGCAGGAAGGAGCTGGTCCAGAAATGTTCTGCTGAACTTGAAGCCGAGCTCCACAGTTGTGCACGGGCCTGGAGAGGTCCCCAGTGTCTGGTGAGAACTGAGGGAGGGCTGGTATGAACTCTGCCTCCCGGGGGTCACTGCATGTTTTGCTCTGACTCCTGCCCTGCTCCTTCCTTGCTGGCATCAGTGCTGGTGGCTGTGGCTGGAATGGAGACATAGCTCAGGGCTCAGGTTCTGCTTTCTCTTTACCTCCAAGCCCCCTTTGCCCATCTCTAATAAGGCAATAAAAGTAGCAGAACGGCGGCTGCCTCCACTCCTGCAGTGTTGAGTGGACCGAGGACTCCTCACGCAGCTCCCGGAGCCTCTGGCTGGCAGTGTGGCTCCCCTGGCACCAGAACCCGTTGCTCAATGCTGAGCAATGCCACATCCCGAGTGCATCCTGAGAAGGGCTGTGCTGGAGGAAAGGGGTAGTTTAACAACAAATTAGGCAGGGAAGATGAGCTGCTGCCTGCTCTTCCTGCAGTGTGACCCCCTGGTCCATGTGTCCCGCTGTCTTGCAAGGCAGGATGTCTGCTCAGAGGCAGTCCCAGTGCTGGGAGAGGTGCCTGCAGATGGCAAAGCTTTACAGGTGGAATGATGCCCTGCAGCCTCCTGTGCCACAGTGGGATGCTGCAAGGCACCACCTCACCCCTGCTGGCCCTCATGCCACCCTGGGAGAGGGGGTGGCAACTGCTGCCTGTGCAGAGCTGTCAGGGGCTGAGGTGTGGGTGGCTGTGTGTAGTGGAGGGCCTGTGGTTGCCCATCAGTGAACATGGCTGTGTCATGGCTTGCTGGGACTTGCAACTTCTTTTGGGAAGTGGCATTGGGCAGAGATTTAACCACAGTCCCCCTGAGGAGCCATTGTTCACCCTGCAGGGGTGTCCCTTGGGACAGCCCAGGCTGTTGGAATCACTCTTTCCCTCCCTGACCAAAAGCATCCAGCACACTGTGCCTCTCACTGCCCAGTGGAGCTGCGTGGAGTGGGTGATGTCCCTGCCTGGCTGTGCCAGGTGGCAGCAGGCAGGACGGAGAAGGATGGGGATGGGATGGGGCTGCCTGCCCTGGCAGCACTGCCATGTCCCTTTGGCTTGTCCCACCCTCCCCAGCGTGGCCTGGAAGCAGCACCAGGATGGAGTTTCTGATAACTGTGGATCTTTTTCTCTTTCTCTTTAAAACTAAACTGTTTACTAATTTCTGAACTCTTTAAGCCAGCCCCATGGTCCCTTGGGTCTGGCTCTCAGGTGGGGGAGGCACAAGCCTTGTGGTACAGGAGGCTGGGAGATGGTCTTGGCAGGAGCAGTGGCAGAAGGACAAGGAAATAAGAGCAGCTGGTGATGGGGTGACTTTGGGATCAGACCAGCACATGGCTTTGTGGTGTCACTCCAGCACTCACCTCCTCAGCTCTGCTGCCTAAGATCTGCAGCTCCTGGGCTGGAGCAGTGCTGGGCTGGGGCTTTCAGTGGGGGTCAGCAGAAGCAGGACCAGTGTCAGTGGGTTTCCCTCTTGCTGCAGAGGAAGCTGAAGGTTTGGTGGTGCACCATTTATCTGAGCTGAATCCACACCAGCATGCAGGGCATCAGGGCTGGGCATTCCCTGAAACACTCTGGGCATGGGGATTTGGGGAATCCCAGAAAGCATGGCCTCGAGGACCAGGGCAGCATGTGTAGGGAGTTTTGCCCCAGTCAAATCAGGCCTCACTGCAGATCCCTTCTGTCTCATGCACAGGAACCTTTCCCCACACTGACCCAAAAAAAGTCTCTTCCCAAGTCCCAGCCAGCCCAAGGAGGCTGTCTAACAGCAGAGGTAGAATGACTGAGCTGGACCTGGGGACTGAGCATCTTTCCAGGGCATGTTTTGGATCAAACAGCAGATCCACGTGCTGTTAGAATCGTACTTAATCCCCTTAAGGAGCACCGTCTCTCTGGAGAGGTGCCGAGCTGGTTACAGCCAGGGCAGGGTAAATATTTGGATAAGATTAATTCCTGTGGTGAGATCAAAACTCCTGCTTGTTTCTCTAGTCTTCTGCTAATAATTCTGCTAATAATTTTGTGTGTGAAAGTGGAGCCCAGTGCTGTGGGCCAGATGCAGAGCTTTTATTGCTGGTTCTGATGGCCTGGTGGAGTTGAGGTGTTGAACTGAGCTTCACCACACTGCTGCTGTGGGGTGTCACCCTGGGGATGTCACTGGCATGTGGCGGTGCCTGACAGGGCTGTCCTGCTGCAAAGAGCTTTATGGTGCAGTAGTGCCAGAGGAAGCAGTGGGCAGAGATGGGCTGGGGGAGTGAGGTCTCCTTGCCACCCTGTGTGGGCACAGCTGGGCTCCCAAGTCCTGTTGCTCCCCTTGGCTAGCTGGTGACAAATGTCTCTTTCCTGGTGGGCACTGGGAAGGGATGTAGGGTTAGGAGGATGGTGGGGTGATTCGATGGCTGCTGTCAGGTGTTGGGTGCAGTGCAAGGGAGGGGGCTGAGGGCAATGTGGATTCCATCCCAGTGCCACAGCCACTGGGGAATATGGGGGACAAGGGAGGACTGTTTCCTGGGGACTGTTTCCTCCAGGCATGTCCCCTGCAGTTAAAGGGCCCTGCTTGGGTTTGGTGGATGCTTCCGCAGTGGGATGGGACTGTTGTTGGGGTGTGGGAAGAGTCCCCAGCCCTGTCTGAGCTTGGCTGGTTGCCAAGGTGTGTATAACTGGGATTTGGCACTGCCTACTGCCCCTGGAATGTCCTTCCAGCACAGCCCAGCTAGGGGAGCCTGGGGACCACAGAAGGCTGGGGACCAGGCTGGTGGCTGCACCAGCCCCTGCCTCTGCTCCCCCTTGAAAGAGTATAGCAGGAGGGAAGGGAGAGAGCTGGAAAGCGGGCCCAGTGTGGGGGGCAATGGGGAAGCTTTGGAAGGGCAGGGGAAGGCTGTGAGTCCTGCTGGAAGGGGTGCTCCCCAAAGGTCTGCAGTCCCCCTGAGGCAGCACTAAGGACCCTGCTGGGAAGCAGATCCCAGAGCAGCCAACCCAGGGGGTCCAGCCCTGCAGGATGGTCTTGGCCCACAGCTCACTGGGAGTGTTGCTTTGTGTTGCTTCATGTGGCATGACGTGGCTCCTGAATTGCTCTGTCCCAGGGCAGGGCAGAAGCCCAGGTCCCTGCTGCCCACCAGGCATGGGGCACACAGAGCACAGGACTCTGCTCTTCCCCCAGAATTCCTTCATAATCCATTAATTTACCATTGCCCCCACAGCTGCTCCCCAAACCAGACGCTGGCCCAGATGAGGAAACTGAGGCCCGGGGCTGTGTGTGAGGGAGGAATGGCTGCAGCAAACACAAGGGCTTGGAGCAGCGTTCCCTGGGCTGACCTCGGGCCAGCCTGTACCGCAGGACCATCCCAGCCTGTCCCACAGGACCATCCCTCTGCCAAGCTGGGCTTTGCTGGCATCCTGCTGAGTTATGCCTGGCAAGATTCCACTGGGAGAAGCCTGAGCATCCTCCTCTCAGTCAGTGTAGGTGGTTGCTGGGCACCCCATACAGCCCCAGTTTGGGTCCCCAGCATCCACAGTGCAGGGTGTCCCAAACACTGACTGCATCCCTCAGCCTGGTAGTGTGGGGATATCACCAGCCCCTGCTCAGAGACTGTGAGGGAGCCTGGGTGCCATCCCAAGGTGGTAGTGGGCTCTGTGCTCTAGCCCTGTTCCTGCTGGGGGCTGGAACCCCCACCTTGGAAGGATCAGGTAGGTTTTCCTGCCTTGGTGGTGCTCGCAGTCCACATGGTCCCTTTGCCATTGCCCATGGTACACATATTGCCCCAGCTGTGTTCCCAAAGGTCTGTCTGTCCCACTGCTGCCTTCCCTGGGCTCTCCCCCTCTCCTGGCATTCATTAACTGTAACAACAGCACCAGTGCTCAGCGTCCCACAATCCTGGTACTGCTTGGCCTCTCTCCCCTGCCCTGCAGGGGCTCTGCAGCCCCTTGAGGTTAATAGTCCCCTCTCCTCTCTGCTTCAGGGCCCTTCCCATGGGCTCCCCAGGCAGGGTGGGGGGCACCTGGGCAGGGAAAGCAGCGGCAAGTGGCCTTTGACCTGGCAGGAGGTGGGATGGATGGATGGATGGATGGATGGATGGATGGACGGACAGAGGGGGATGGGAAGCAGTGGTATGTGAGGAATGTGCCCAGAGCAGATAACCCCTTCCTGCTAGGTGCTAGGTGCTGAGGCTGCTTCTCTGCCACAACATGGAGGGTTTGAGGTAAACCCACCAATCTGGGAGCTGGGCTGGGGCTTGGGAGAGCCCTGCGAGGGTGAAGGGAGGCTGGAGGGGCATGGCCATGTCCTACCCAAAATGGCCAGACACCCATCCCCATAGCCCCCTGGGACTGGCACCCAGATGGGTGCTGGGCTGGGCATCTCTCCCTGTGCCCATAAGCAAAGGGGACAGACAGCAAGTGGGCTTGGGGGCTGCCTGCAACCCCTGGGGAACAGCCCTGGGGAAGGGGTGCTAGTGGGCACTGCCTGTGCTGGGACTGCCCAGGGGACTTATCAGAGCCCAAGTCTTGCCTGTCCCCATGTCCGAGCATGTGACCTCCTTATCTCGCTGGTGCCAAACTGTGTGACAGCCAGGGAAACTGAGGCATGGGATTGGGGCTGCCAGAAGTTTTATGTTCCTGCCCCTGCTCCAGCCTCCTTATGCTCCTGTCCCCAGGTACCCCCCCCAGCTGCCAAGATGTCCAGCAAACGTGCCAAAGCCAAGACCACCAAGAAGCGCCCCCAGCGCGCCACCTCCAACGTCTTCGCTATGTTCGACCAGTCGCAGATCCAGGAGTTCAAGGAAGCCTTCAACATGATTGACCAGAACCGTGATGGCTTCATCGACAAGGAGGATCTGCACGACATGCTGGCGTCCCTCGGTGAGGAGGCCCTGCCCTCGCAGCCCCTCTGCCCCCAGCACCACCTCAGGAGTAGGGGGAGCTGCTGGGTGACCTAATACCCACACCCAGTGCTAGAGACCAGCTGTGGTGGGATGCTCCAAAACCTGCAGGGAAATTCTCTGCTGGCACCAGCTGACCACAGAAAGTGCATTTGTGAGACACCCAAGGGCAGCAGCTCGTTGTGCTGCTCTTACAGCTGTGCTCACCAGAAGTGAAGAGACCCTTGGGGCTGGAGAAGCTCTGCCCTGGGAGTGAGCACGAGCTGCAGGCATAGAGTGTTGGAGTAGTCTCACCCTAGAATGTCACCTGAGGTTGTCCCCTCCTGCTGCTCTCATCTGGGGTAACAAAGGCTAGTTCCCATGCTGGTGTGATACCTCGACTGGTTGAGACATGCAGGTCAATCCCCACACCCCACCTGGAGCTTGTTTTTCTTTGCTGCAGACCATGGCTCCCTCCTTCTGCTCCCAGCCGTACCTTCACTGCACTTTGGGAGGTCTGTCAATGATTGACCTGGCAGCCAAACCTGTTCTGGAGGTCTGGCTGGCCCTGGGAGGAATCTCCCTCCTCCCATTGTGTTGGAGCTCTGGGAGCAGAGAGGGGCCGGTGCTGGGGGCACAGACCTCAACAGAGGTGGTTAAACCATGATGGGATAGGGCCTGGGGACATCAGCAGCATGAGGCTCGTGTGGGGACATTGTTGCCTCTCTCTGTGGGGGGGCTGGGTGTCAGCTGCCAGGGGAGTGGGAAAAACCATGGGTTTTGTTCCCAGTAAACCCTCAATTAATTACTGCATCTCCCCCAAGGCAGAGCTTGGTTACAGGTATGGATTATAGCATGGAGAGAGATGCTGAGGGGGGAGCACTGGGCACTGCAGAAACCCCCTCCCCATGTTTATGGGGTGGTGAACAAGAGCCAGCAAATTAATTTGCAATGAAAAAAAGCCCCGTCCAGCCGAGTGCATGGGCTGGCTGTTGCGATGGGAGCTGGGGGAACAGGGGCCTGCACCCACACCCCTGCCTGTGTCCCGCAGGGAAGAACCCCACCGACGAGTACCTGGAGGGGATGATGAGCGAGGCGCCGGGGCCCATCAACTTCACCATGTTCCTCACCATGTTTGGGGAGAAGCTGAACGGCACTGACCCAGAGGACGTGATCCGCAACGCCTTCGCCTGCTTCGATGAGGAGGCGTCAGGTACGGCAGGGCCCTGCACGCAGCCCCTCGGGCACACAGCCCCTCGGGCACACAGCCCCTCGGGCACACAGCCCCTTGGGCACACAGCCCCTCGGGCACACAGCCCCTCGGGCACACAGCCCCTTGGGCACACAGCCCCTCGGGCACACAGCCCCTCGGGCACACAGCCCCTCGGGCACGCAGCCCCTCGGGCGTGCAGCCAGGGTGAGGGCTGGGGCCAAACTCTTGAGGACAGGCCCCAAGCAGCTCCAGAGTAGGAGAGCTGGACAGGGGTGTCTTCGGGAGAGGGGGGGAAGGTGCTGCCACTAAGCCCTCATGGTGTCCCCTGCTAACGCTGTCCCCTGCCCTCCCTGCAGGCTTCATCCACGAGGACCACCTGCGTGAACTGCTGACCACCATGGGGGACCGGTTCACCGACGAGGAGGTGGATGAGATGTACCGGGAGGCGCCCATCGACAAGAAGGGCAACTTCAACTATGTGGAATTCACCCGCATCCTGAAGCACGGGGCCAAGGACAAGGACGATTAGAGCCCCGGGCCACTCACCCCTTCTGCCTCCTCCTGTGCACATCCCCCGCCCCTTGGCCACCCTTGTTGCCCCACAGCAAATTCCCCCCACGGGAAACACCTTCCAGGACCAGCCCACATCAGGACAAGCTTAGAGGGAACACATTCCTGTCACTGTGCCACTGTGTGCCCATCCATCAGCCTCAGCCCTCCCCTCCCATCGCCTCTCCCACCCACAGGCTCACCCAACTGAGCCCCCCAGCCTGGCTGTGACACCCCCCCACCCAGCAGCCACTGACCCCCTCAAAGCCACCATGCCATTGCTCCCTGGGGCCGGGGTGAGCATCCCCCACTGGCCTGCAGGGATTTGGGCTGGCTCGAGCCTGAGCAGTCCCCATCTCAGGGCCATAACACAGAGGGAAAGCATCTCTCCCCTCTCCTCTCACACTCTTCTCCTTCAGGAAAGAAACCCCACTTTGTTCCTCCTCCCTGGCTGTTTTATTGCTTTAGAGCCTGATATCTGAGGGATTCAGGAAGCTGAAGTGATGTATAAAGCCCGATGGGTGTGATAGAGATGTGCTGTGTGTGGCTCCCTCGTGACCAGTGCCATGCTGTGCTGCTGCCTGTCAGGTTTCGGAGGTGGGTTTGGGCACTACATCTCCCCACCTTGCTACCATTGTCAGCCAGGGCCCCTTCCAGTGGGACAGCCAGTTTTCAGAGACACATGGCTCCCAATCTGTGTAAAATCAGCTTGAGCATCATTTTCTGCCTTTGCTGGTGGGATGAGAGTCACTCTGCTCAGCCCCAGCATCGGGGTGGGCTGAGAGACACTTAGCAAAGTGCTGGCCATGCTCCCCCCATCAGGTTATCCAGGGTCCTAGGGGCTTGGCCACCCTTCTGTGTCACCCTGAGAAGATGGGGGGAGGGGGTGGGCAAGAGGCAGAGAGGGTAAGAAATGGGGATGGGATTTGTCCCCTTGATTTGGTTATTTATCACCACCCCGACAAGGGTGCTTCTGCCTTCCAAAGTTTCTGTCTTAAAGTGCTTCTTGAAGTCCACCCATCTCCCTACCCTGGAGGGAGGGATGAGTTTCCTGCAATTCTTTATTTAAAATGGGGGGAAATGTGATGAGAAACCCACAAAACTGGTGAGGGCACAATGCATGGCAGAGCGGCTCCCAGTGCTGAGAAAGCTTGGATGAGGTCTGTGGAAGCTCTGTGGGCACATGCTGCTGGGATCAGAGGTGTCAGAAACCTGCCAGGCCCCAGGTAATGCTCTCACCTGAGAGATAACCCATGACTGAAAAGCTTCTCCTTGGTCTCAGTCCTATTTTGCAGGCACTGCCAACACCAGGAAAAAGGAACTAAATTGTCAGGGACACAGAGATGTGAAGGGCTGAACCTGCACTCTCCCAGGGAGCTCCCCAGGGACAGGGCTTGTACTCTGCAGCAGCAGCGCCAAACCAGCCCACAGATGCCAAGCTCCTTTCCTAACTTCATGCTGTGTCAGGGAAAAACCACTTCCAGAGCAAATTCCCATGCTACTGGGAGGAAGGATGCTTTATAAAATCCTCCTTCCCTAAAATGCCCAGCAAAGTGAACGTTTCACAGATGTCACTTTGGGGCAGGCAGGCTGATGCTGGAGCTGTGGGCAGCTGTCTTCTGGGGGTAGCTGCATACAGGAGGGATGTTCAGCCCCACTGATCCCAGGAGATCACCTTGTGTGACCAGCCCAGGTTCTCGCAGTGCCACGAGTGGGATGGACTCGGTGGCTGGTCCCAGCTCTGGGCACTGCTGGCCCCAGCTGGGAGCTGCCACAGGCTCTAGCATGGGGCTCTCAGAAGTGCTGCCTTGAGCAGCTGCCAAAACTGCTGGGTCTGAGCTGCCCTGTCACTGGAACGGCCATAGTGACACCATAGGACTCTCAGGACAGGGCATCCTTCAACCCTGAGGCAGCAAAGTAGAGGAAATTTGTTAGTGGACGCTGAGGTACATATGGGAAGAGTAAATAAACCTGTTCCACTGGCACAGAAGCTGTGGCTGCCCCATCCCTGGAAGTGTCCAAGGCCAGGTTGGACGGGGCTTGGAGCAACCCCGTTTAGTGGAAGGTGTCCCTGCCCATGGCAGGGGTGTGGAATGAGATGACCTTTAAGGTCCCTTCCAGCCCAAACCATTCCGGGACTTGATGATTCTGTGAAACTCCAAAACTACTTGGGCTCATGTGAACCTCATGCAGTTCAACCAGGCCAAGTGCAAGGTCCTGTATCTGGGTCAGGGCAACCCCCAGCATCAGCACAGGCTGGGGGCTGGGTGGGTTGAGAGCAGCCCTGGGGAGAGGGACTTGGGGGTCCTGGTGGGTGACAAATTGGATGTGACTTGGCCAACTGCCCTGGCAGCCCAGAAAGTTAGCAGAAGTAGCGTGGGCAGCAGGTCAACCTGACCTGACTAATTTCAAAGGTATTAAATAGCATCAAAATAAAACAACATTTAATTTCAGAAGTGGTTGTTTGGGGCAGGGGAACATCAACTTAAGCAAATAACCCTGCTTTTGGGTCAATTTAGAAGAGCTGTCCACAGTGGGAAAGTGTGTCCTGATGCTCAGAGGGCCCCTCCTGTGTGTCAGTTTGTGCCCATGGCCCCCAGGTCTGTCCCTGGGCACTGCTGAGCAGAGCCTGGCCCCGTCCTTTCTGCACCCTCCCTCCAGGTATTTATCCACACAGATGAGATCCCCTGAGCCTGCTCTGCTCTGGGCTGGGCAGTCCCAGCTCTCTCAGCCTCTCCTCATGGCAGAGATGCTCCAGTCCCTCCATCACCTTCATGGCCCTGTGCTGGACTCTCTCCAGTCTGTCCCAGTCTCTTGTACTGGGCTGCCCAGCTCTGGGCCCAGCACTCCAGGGGTGGCCTCAGCAGTGCAGAGCAGAGGGGAAGGGTCCCCAGCCTCCAGCAGCTGTGACATTGCTCCCAGTACAGCCCAGGACACCCTGACCCAGGAGTGTTTTTTTCCCCAGTGCTGTAAACTCCATCCTAGTGTCCCCAGAGCACCACGGCTCCTCTTTCCGTGTCCAGTGATGCAGGTTAGAGGAATATCAGAGAGGCAAAGGGTATGGCAGTACCTGCTGAGAGAGGGTCTGTCCTTCCCTGTTCTCTCTGGGAAGGACAACAGGAACAGCAGAGCTTCCCTGTGGGAAGGGGCAAGAGGAGATGGAGGGGCTGCAGTGCCCAAATGTAGGACTCCAGTGCTGGAGCCTGGCTCCCAGGGGAATCCCAGTCCTACTGGGGAAATTCCAGCCTGCAGGGGTCCACTGGCCCTGAGCAGGGAGCAGGACCCACTGCTGGATGCAGTGACCCCAAGGGCAGGGTGGCAGCAAACAGCCAGCACAGCCCTCCACAAATCCACTACAATCCATTTTTTTCCTTGCTAAAAATGAAGATTTACATATCACAGGATGGGCAAAGGGTGGAGAGAATCCTGACTGAAATGGGTCAGTACTCTGGGAGGCTGCCTAGGGACTCCAGCATCCCCCTGGGGTTCCCAGCATCCCTCTGGGAGTTCCAGCTTCCCCTGGATTTCCAGCATCCCTCCTCAGGCTCTTGCTGGCTGACTGTTGTTCAAATTGCTGAAGTTTAATAGTATTATCATGTCAATGGGCCTGGGCAGGGCTCAGCCTGGACAAGCTTGCAGTGGGAATGGGCAGGGAGATGCCCCACAGCCCCTGCCCTGGCCCCTCATCCCAGAGGCTCCTCATTCCCCATCAGTTGGGAGCTCCCTGGCTCCTGTGCCAGGCTGGGCTTGCCCAGGGATTTAGGTTGCCCTCATGCTGCACTCAGACACCCAGTGGGATTTTTCCAAAGCTCCTTTCACACTACCAGTCCAGGGACCACAGAGGGTGGGAGGGCCTGAGGGGGCTCATGGCTATTTCATGGTTGTCTCAATTTGGCAGCCTTTTCCAAAAGGTGGGAGCAAAAGTAGACTGCTTGGAAGGATAATCCTGCTGGGGCACAGTGGCTGACACAGACCGTTGGGGGTGTCCAGGGGGGGTCTGCAGTGTCACCCACCAGGAACTGGCTGCACAGGGAGGAGAGGCCTGGTGATGGCCCTGGTTCGGAGTGGGCAGAAGTCAGCCTGGTGTGAGAGGACTGGAGGGGCCAGGGGATGCTCCCTGCCCAGTGCGACCCTGCAGTGTGTGGCATGTGCATCCAGGGCTCCCACCCCTCACTTGTGCTTCACCAGCCCTAGCTCTGTTGGCATTAATGGAGCAAAAGCAGGTTGAGGCGCAGTTTCACTCAGGACATGGTAGATTTAGCAGCAACTAAACAAATGCTTTAAGGAATTCTCCTTTTTTTTTTCCAATTTAATCCCTTATTGCCCCACACAAACTGACCATAAAAGAATGGTTTTTGCAGCTTTTCTCAAAAGGAAAGGATCCCCATCTTTAATCCTGTGAACATCAGAGGGGAGGGAGGGGAGCCACAGCACAGTCTGCAGAGGTGGTGGAGCCTAGGAAGGGGGAGCTGCCCCAAGGCCAACTCCTGCACCAGGGTGATATGGAGCGGGATCTGGTGACCTTGAGGTGTTGTGCCAACCAGCACACAGTTCCCTGGGGAATGCACACATGTGTGTGGGGCTTGGCAAGGATGAGCAATGGAGGGGCAACGGACATTCCAAAAAGCACATCTCCAAGAGGACATCCCCAAGACAGGGATCTCTGCTGGCAGGCCTCTGGGCTGGCTGCTGGACAGGGTCATCTTGGCTTCTCATAGTGGAACTTCTCCATTTGCAGGAGCTGGGATGTGCCACCGGTGCTCAGAGCAGCTCTTCTCTCCGTCGTTCCCACTGATGAAGATACCATTCCAGGGTGTCCATGATGGACACGTCCCCTCTGGGCTCAGCTGAGCACCTGGCAGAGGGTGATGGTGTGACCTAGCCCTGCATCTCAGGAGGGCACAGAGCTATTCTGGGGAAATCCCATGGGAGCCACATCCCAGACCAGCAGCAGGTTTGCATGCAAACAGAGAGATTTGGTCCCCAAAATTCAAAAGGTGACCTTGGGCTCTGCTGTGGTGGTGGGGAGGCACAGGGAGAGCAGGGGCAGCCCAGAAGGGCTTCCAGAGACCTTGCCAAGCCTGATGGCCATGGCATGGTGAGAGTTCCACCTGGTGCCTCCTTGGTCATCACCTTTGCTTGGACACACCTTCCACTGTCATGGGAACAGTGATGTGCTGAGCTTCTGCTCAGATTTCCTGTCTAGTAAGACACCAAAGAAACCACTGGTGGTGCCTCATGGTGGTCTAAGGTCCCCAGGGCTGTCACCCACACCTGCCCCCACAGCTGCTGTCCCAAGGCCTGGCCCTGTCCCCTGCTCACAGACACCAGTAACCTGCCGGGGCTCAGCGATAGGATTCAGCCAGGGGGAAGGAGCCTGTGCAGTGCTTTGTGGAGTGTCCCTGGGTGGGTATCCCTGAATAGGAGTCCCTGGGTTGGAGTCCCGAGGTGGGTATCCTTGTGAAGGTGTTCCCGGGTGGGTGTCCCTGTGTTAGGTGTCCCTAGGTGGGTATCCCTGCATGGATGT